TGTACACTTCACACACAAAGCACTTCTACATTGCTATGGTTTCTATCCACCCAGTTATTTGAAAGCAGCCTGAAATTAATTTGTGATTATTTTTATTTCTGTTCACTCTTGGAACTCAAAAGACTTCATGACTCAGTCAATGATCTCTTCAGCTGAGCAATTGAAAAGTGACAAAGATCATTCAGTTATTGTCCCATCCTATTATAGCATCCATCTTCCTTTATGGTGCGTGCATGCATTTGAAGAGCAATTTCTCACAAATTCAAAGTAGTTGCAATGAGAGAATTCTGAGTAAGAACTGTGAAGCCAAGACATAATTCTTTTCTGAAATTTTAAAGGCTGTAGATTAACTGAGGGACGTGGTGGCTCAGTGGCTAAGACACTGAGCTTCTCGATTGAAAGGTCAGCAATTCAGCAGTTCACATCCCTAGTGCCATGTAACAGGGTGAGCTCCCATTACTTGTCCCAGCTTCTGCCAACCTAGCAGTTAGAAAGCATGTAAAAAATGCAAGTAGAAAAATAGGGACCACCTTTGGTGGGAAGGTAGCAGCATTCTGTGCACCTTTGGCATTTAGTCATGCCAGCCACATGACTATGGAGATGTCTTTGGACAGTGCTGGCTCTTTGGCTTTGAAACGGAGATGAGCACCACCCTGTAGAGTTTGGAACAACTAGCACATATGTGCGAGGGGAACCTTTACCTTTACCTTTTTAACAAGAATTTCCTGATTTGGTTCCTTTCTGAAGGTAGAAACTAGGAGATGGACGACTCTGAAATTTTCTAACAAGAGAAAGGAGATAACCAAAAGATGTCCAGACTGTTGAACAGCAAAAAGAAAGTTGCTGTGAATGCAATTTCAAATATTCCACATCATAATTGATAATAAAGTGAATTCTGCTGTCAACTGCAACCACTGTTGTGGGATCTCAGATCTGCCATCAAATGGTCATGAAAATTGTAAGGGGATGTGTCTATTGATGATATTTATATTTATAAAATATATATTCATATTATTTATGAAATACATATTTAATTGATTTAAAAATAAATATTATGTTCATTTATGTATCATAAACATAATATTATTGAACTCTGACCCCATATTTTCTGAGAAAGGTTCTCTTTGAACATTACAGAAGTGAAAAGGATTTTATTTCAGATTTCTGAAACTATAAATTGAGATTTCTTTGTTTGATAATACAACAATCACGATGATCAAAGTAAAATCCTATGTCATTCATTTTCAAGCTAACAGTTCTTTAGACTGCTATTCTAATACCTTTTAACAGCTCAGATTACTGACTGCTTATCCTAAAATCTGCATAATGCTCCTTCACCAAGGCTAACTTTAACATTTTATTTTATTTTAACTGTATCTAGGTTAAACGAGTTCCCTCAATAGAAGCTGTTTTTCTTTCTTGCTATGTATCTTACATGAGTATTATCTTGAGAGTTTCTCCCTCTTCACTTGTGAAGTTGATTTCAGTCAGCTGTGTGACAGAGGAAGCATATCTGCACAATTTAATTTGTATGAGAAAATTAATAAATCAAATAGAGAATATCTCCGAGAAGAAACAATTGGTTATACAGCTTCTGGGAAAAGATTGACAAGATAATTTGACAGAAAGCATTCTGTATTCCTTACCCAAACTGATATGTGGTAAAATCATAACTAAAAAGGATTTTAAAAATGGGATAGGGAATATTGGTGTCAAAGATGGCTTACAAAACTAATACAAAAGATACAAAGAACTCATACCAACTTATTAAATTGTGCCTAGTAGGCAACTGGGAGCCAGGGCAGAATTTTAGTACCAATATAATGTAAAACTCATGCTTTTTACTGGTTGGCAATGTAACTGCTGCATTTTATGCTTTCTTCTTTTTTGTAATACCTTTTATTCACAGCGTGACTTCATTGTGAAATATGGAGGAAGAAAGAGTTTGTTGTTCTTTTGGTGTCCAACATATGCCCAGTGTGACCTAATACAATTCAGGCTCTGTTGTGAGAAAAAGCTGGTGCCTACTGATTTTGTAATACAGTTAGTGGTTTTAGGTATAAAGCTTTTGGCAAGAGCAAATCAGATTTACACATAGGCCAGCAGTTATATAGTATTTGGCCGTCAGTTGGACTAAAATGGCATAAATCCAAGCACTTTGATTAAAGTGACGCATAAATCAAGTTGCTCATGTGAAACCCATGAAATATGTACACAGCAATAAAATCCATAGAATATTTGTCTATTTTAGTTTTCTGGTGATTTTTAAAGTTGCACATAAAGTATTTTTTTCCATTCATCCTTAAAATATATACCAATGATTGATCCATCAATACATCAAAACCTTTGTTTATAGTGAGTACACAGGACTTATTTCAAGTTATTATTTCTTGTGTAAGTTTTTTCTATGCAGCAAGATTTTTTTTCCTCTTCCAGCCCACCCTTTTTTCCACCAAGCCATTGAATAATGTTTAGTTTTAGCCTATGTTTCCTTGCAAACTAAACTGACTAGCTTAGATTCATTATTATCTAAATTAAATCACCTTTACAATTAAATGAATTCACTCTCAATATATGAGTCCAATTCAGAACTTTGACAAGCTCATTTCAGCCTAAGGGAACTGCATGGGTTTCTGAAGCTAATACCTAAAAGAAACCAGGAAGATAAAGTTCAATGCTTTCTCAGCAGCTGGCTCTCTAGATGCAGAAGCTGATAACGAGAAAGGAATTTGATACCTGACTTTCATTTGGATTTTTATTTATTTATTTTTAGCAACTTTTCCTGCTTTTTCCCCTCTTTCTTCAAGGTCTACCTTATATTTAAGTAGCTACAAAATGACAATGGATTAAAGATGTGATATAAAGCAGGTAATGTTAAACTCAAATGACTAAGTCAACTATTTATAATAATCTATAACATTTATATAATTATAAATTAAATACTGTATTTTTCAGACTATAAGATGCTCCAGACTATAGTGTTTGGGGAGAGGAAAAAAAATCTGCCTTTGCCTCCCAGCAATTTGCCTCCTTGCAGCAAACAACAAACAGCTTGATCAGCTTTAGCACAGCCTGATTTAACACGAGAAGCTGATTGGTGGTTGGATCTGCCTCCCAGAATACCACTGATCAGCTGTTCTGGGCTGCAAGGATCACCACCGTCCATCGCTGCCATCGCTGCCCATTGCCACTATCACCTATCACCCCCCCTCCATGCACCCCATTTTCATCCTCCATGCATCCCATTTTCAGCCTGTTCCAGGTGGCGGGGATTGCTGCCATGGCTGCCTATCCCCACTGCCTGGAACAGGCCAAAAATGGAATGCTCAGGCACAAAAAATGGGACACATGGAGGCCGAAAATGGGACATGTGGAGGTGGCGATAGGTTGCAGAGGCGATTGGCAGCGGCGATCCCTGCAGCCTGAACAGCTGATCAGTAGTATTCTGGGAGGCAGATCCAACTGCCAATCAGCTGCTCATGCTAAATCAGGCTGTTTGCTGTTTGCTGCAAGGAGGCAAATTGCTGGGAGGCAGAGGCCAAAGGGTGGGGGCCGGTGGGTGGGTGGGGCTTCGGTAACATTCACTCTATAAGATGGACAGACATTTCCACTCACTTTTTTGGAGGGCGGAAGTGCATCTTATAGTCCAAAAAATAAGGTAGCATTGTAAAGATACATAACTGTGAGTAAGCCAACAATTTTTACCATTGTTCAAGTTGACACCCAACAGGAATCCTAAAATAGATTAGGTTCTCAAGAGAATAAATTGACACCTTCTTCTCTGTGACAGCTCCTCAAGTACTGGAAGACTGTTATCCCCTGAACCTTCTTTTCATTAGGCTCAATTTATGTAGTTCAGTGATGAAATTCATTTTTTTTTCTACCAGTTCTGTGGGCATGGCTTGATGGATGTGGTGTGGCTTGGGGGGTGCAGCTTGGTGGGCATGGCAGGGGAAGGATATTGTAAAAACTCCATTCCCACCCCTGGGGCCAGAAGTGGTATTTGCTGGTTCTCCAAACTGCTCAAAATTTCCGCTACCGGTTTTCCAGAACCTGTCAGAACCTGCTGGATTTCACCCTGATGTAGTTCCTTTAGATGTTCATCATATGATTTAGCATCCAGACTCCTTATAATCCTCTTTGTTGCTATTCTGTGCACTCTTTCTAAGGCCTCACCTCAGGATCTTTTTTGAAGTGGGGTGACTAGAACTGGGAACACTATTGCTTCTCATGATGTGGATGCAGCCAAGAATTATGTTGGCTCTTTTGGCAGCTTCAGTGTTCTGCAAGTTGACACTTAATAGGAACCCTAAAAATAAATTGTCTAATATTATGTTGTTACACATAATATTTCATTTTCTGAAAATAGATTGTTTCTTTGCTAACTTCCACAAGTAGAATTCTAGAAATTCGATTTCTTTTTTTTAGAAACTTAGAAATAAGTACAAAACTGCCAATCTGAGAGTGAAATGGAACCTAAATTTTGTAAATACACTTGAGTTCTGTTTATCTAAATACACCTGTTTATCTAAAATTTTAGGCATTAATAATTAATTTATCACCATATGCATAATACTAACCAAATAGACAGAGATTAAATATTTTTTAACCAAGTAGAGTTTGCAAGTTTTGAAAGCAATCCCTCTGTAGTCTGCATCAAAATAATACCATTCTTTTTATAATTAAAATACATGTGACAGTAGCTTAATATATATACTGTACCTAATAAACTTAAAGATGCAAAAAAGTGTTCCTGGCTTTTAGTACCATCCACTAGAGAATTCGAGAGAAATTTGATTTTTCCACTCTGAATTTGATTTTTGAAGATTATTTTTATCAAATCAAGCACTACAGGAATCCTTACTCAGGTAGTAATTCTTTGAGTCAAGAAAGATAATGCGGCACAGAGAAACTTGTGGAGAAGAACTTAAACAAATAAAATGAGTCTTAGTGAATATTATCACTCTGTTCTACATATTGAAAATTCTGTGCAAGTTGAATTGGTTTTGAAACTAGCATTTATAACTCCCAGAAGATAGCAGTGTAAGTCTAGGAACAACAGCAATTGTGCACTGTAGAGATCACTTTCTGGGATACTTCACCTTGAGATAAGTGGCATATAAATTTGATAAACAAACAAACAAACAAATGATTTGATGAACTTTAAGACCAAGTGTTGTTTAAGGGGAAAAAAAAAACCCTTTAGGGAATTCTGCCTAAACTGACCTGCAGAAAATTTATAGATATACATTCTGGTTTGTGTTGCTATTCATTTCAAGCGAATACTAACTATAAAAGTATGTATATAAGAGTGGTATGGCTGTTTCAATGAAACACTTTGCTGTATTAGTCTATTAGCTTCAGCTTCTGAATCATTTTAGGTCAAGAGAAGTGCAATTGTATAAAATCTTCAAGAAAGCTGGATCAGCATCTTCGAAATGAGTTCTATATTCAAAAAATGAAAACAATGGTTTTGTTAGAACTGCAATATAAACATCTGCCTCGTTTCCTTTCCTTCTATAGTCAATTTGATTATGTCTATGCAGTTTTGGATGTTGTGCCTTGCTTATATTTGCTTTGAAAACAGGTATAGTTAAGGATTTTTATTCTGGTAAACTAGCATGACCCTCCATATAGTGTGTTGCAATTATTTTCCTTTTGACTTACTGAAACCCATATTAGACTCTTTCAGAAATATATTTATTTAAACTGATGTTCAAATTAATGTTTAAAACTGTTAAGAATGCTGCCACATTTCATACACACAAATGCAAATAAATTTATGTGAGTAGAGGTAAGTGTTTTTGTTAAAAATATTAAGAATGCTACCAAATTACATCTTAAAAATTGAATTTATCTTCCAAATTGCAGTTTAGTTAAAGCAGAGTAGTATTTCAAAAGATCAGGGAGGATCAACAAAACCTTTAGTTTTATCTATAGTCATTTATTCCTAATCATAGAATCATAGGACTGGAAGGGACCTTGGAGGTCTTCTATCCAATCCACTGCCCAAGGAGGAGGCTTATACCATTCCAGACAAATGATTGTCTGATGTTTTCTTGAAAACCTCCAGTGATGGAGCATCCACAGCTCTGGAAGAGAAGCTGATCCATTGATTAATTGTTCTCACTGTTAGGAAATTTTTCCTTATTTCCAAGTTGCATTTCACTCTGACAAGCTTCCATCCATTGCTTCCTTTCTAGCCCTCAGGTGCTCAGGAGAATAATTTGACACTGTCCTCCCTGTGAGAGATTTTCAAGTGCTGGAAAACTATTATCAAGTCTCCTCTGAGCCTTCTCTTCATTAGGCTAAATCTATCTAGTTCCCTTAGATGTTCATCATATGATTTAGCCTCCAGACCCCCTACTGTCTTCGTTGCTCTTCTCTGCACTCTTTCTAGGGCCTCAGCCAGTGGTGAAATCCCAATTTTTTTACTACTGGTTCTGGGGCATGACTTGGTGGTCATGGCAGGGGAAGGATACTGCAAAATCCCCATTCTCTCCCCACTCCTGGGGGAAGGATATTGCAAAATCTCCATTCTCACCACACTCTGGGGCCAACCAGAGGTGGTATTTGCCAGTTCTCCAAACTACTCAAAATTTCTGCTACCAGTTCTCCAGAACTGTCAGAACCTGCTGAATTTCACCCTTGTCCTCAGCATCCTTTTTGAATTGTGGTGACTAGAATTGGATGCAGTATTCCAAATGTGGTTTTACCAGTGCAGTGTACAGCGGTACTATCGCTTCCCCTGATCTTGATGCTATCCCTCTGTTGATGCAGCCTAGAACTATGTTGGCCTTTTTGATATACTGTTGATTCATACTTAAGTGGTGATCCACCAGGACACCTAGATCCCTCTCACAGATACTACTGCTGAGCCAGGTGCCCCTTGTTCTATACCTACACATTTGGTTTTTTGTGGCTAAAAGCAGGACCTTTTCTTACCACTGAATCTTGTTGTTGTTCAACCCTTTGAACAGGATGATGATAAATTCTGAAGTTTACTTGCTCTTTTCATTTTGGCTCTGAACAGTATAGGAATATTACATATATATCCATAGCATCCAAAACCATACAATTATGTCACTGTGAATCAGCAATATATAATAAGAAATACCTTAGTAATCAAACATGTGGTCAAGAGTTTGGAGGGGAGGAATAAGTGGCAGCTTAATATGTTTCCCTATTAATCTTCCTTTTTATTTCATTCTTCTCTTCCAGCTGAGCCTCATTGGTTGATGGACCTTAGAATGCATTACCAAGAACAAACAATTAAGCAAATAGGAAAGCCCTCAGGTTCTTAACAGGATCTTAATACAATGAGAGGTCTTTTCACCACAAAGCACTCATTAAGAGGAATGCTCATTAAAGATAATAATAACAGTCATAGTAATAACAAATAAAATTACAAAAAGTAGTCCAGATGTCCTGTATGTTGTAGGAGGATTGATTAGAAGGATTAAGGAAGGTTTTTGATGCAGCTATTGCCACGGTCATTCATTCTGAAAATGTTATCATCTCTTTTCCATGTTCAAACACAGTATATTAATGAACTGCTAATCATTCCCCCTTTCCTGCTTTTTATAGTGAGCTACCTGGGGATCCTGCAGTGTAAGAATTATGGAGGAAGGAAGCAATTTGCCAGCCTTAATGTCTTTGGCTCTGTATTTTCTTAACTTTGTTAATTTTCAGTGGATTATGCATGGAAGAACACATTCCCCATTATGTGCTAGTAGTGACATGTATATACCTTTATTTTTAGCATTTAATTAATCCACTTTTCAGCTCCACATTCAAATTAGGTTTTGATGGTGGTGATAGTTGTGGCTGCTCTCTTGGATTTATCAGCTTGGATTGTTGTGCCATATTTTCCACAAACATTTTGTGTTCCTTATAAAAAACACACACAATGAAGTATGTGTATTGTAAAATGATAGTCACAGCCTATAATCCTATCCTATGAGCTATCCTATGATAGTTTGAGTTTATTGCTATAGAGAGGGGGAGGAAAGGTTTATTGCAACATTTTAAGATTCTAATGCGTGCTACTCTTTTAAAAAAATGGTATGGCTGATATACAGCTAGAGGAAAAACAAAAAATCGGAGTTAATATTGTAACTCTTTGCTGGTTTTATTCCATAAAGAAATAAGTGCATGAGTGAATCAAACACAGTTTGCAAACTTCTGCCTGCTGGTGGTTCCTGAATAGACTTTACTATCTGTTTTCTATCAGATCATAGAGAGGATAGTGTTGCCCTTAGGCATCCATCCAGCTGCTGCACAGAAGCTGTGCCAAGCTCATATGCTTTTTCCTTTGACTGGCCCAGGACAGCATTCTTGCTCTCATGAAATAACTGAGAGGCATCATCTCTTTCTTTTGCAGCTGCTTCTTCCTTTTCCCAGATGTCCCCTTTAAAAAGGCTGCTACGCCTTGGTCCATTAGGAATACACAGGCTTTTCCTAATGAAATCTAAACAGATGCATCAGACATCCAATTCAAACAACTCAGTTCAAATAAATAACACATTGGGGACTATGTGGTCTTCAGTCAAGTACATTATAGATACAGTTGCTGAATTCATATATATATATAAACCATTGAGGAGAAAGGGTTGCCAACTAAATGAAAATGTCCATTAGTTACAAATTTACATCTCTAATGTAATTTCGATAATTGCTAAGGTTATATAATTGTCATGTTACTTCATTCACATCAATTTATGTCATCTGCATACATTATTTGCACCAATGGCATAACTGACGTAAATTATCTTGCAGGTAATCAGTATCAGTATAGCCAATGATAAGAGTATAAGCACCAGACATCAGACAAAACAACCCCCACAATTTAGAGAAGGAGAGAGGGAGGGAGAGAGGGAGGAAGGGAGGGAGGGAGGGAAGGAAGGAAGGAAGGAAGGAAGGAAGGAAGGAAGGAAGGAAGGAAGGAAGGAAAATCCATTTCTATTTGACGTGCCTGGTTTCCAGGAATGCTTTATATAAATTTCCTGCGCAAGGAAGTTTATTCTCTGATTGAAAGAAGGAAATGGTAACATGGAAGATATGCATATAACACTGACAATGTTATACACTGTATATAATTGTACCCTGCACAACTTTTGATGTCATGTATTTTGCCATTCCTCAACAGTGAAGCAAAATGTCACCAGACACTTAAGCAATTACTATAGTTGTTTAAATGTGTGTTGCTGAAATACACATTTGCTGAGAGAAGTTGGACATAATGTATGGTTAGTTTAAACATAAACATAATGCACAATGCAATAAAGGTCAACACCCACTTTTTTAAAAAAAAGAGGACCTTTATTTAAAACTAATTTTACTGTAATCCACCACAGTATTAAAGAACAAAATGTACTCTAATTTGTGTTTCATTTATTTTATTGTAAGCCATTATAATATTTTAGTACTAACCATTCTTCCAATAGTTCGTTGTATGTATACAGCAGCAATGTACATAGTACCCTTCCTTTTAGGGGAAGGGGCAGGACAGGGAGCAGCGAAGCCCAGAAGCCCCTTTATTTATTTTATTTATATTCTCATTTCTGGAACGATAATCTCCTTCAAAGAGCCATTGTCTGATTATTCTGCATGCAGATATCTGCAAGTTATGCTTGTGTGATTTATTCAATATCTTAAACTTACAAAATATTCAAAGTAAAAACATAGCCTTGTGGGAAAATGCTCAATTTCATCTTGTTTTTGCATAAAAGCTATAATTCAATGGGAATGTATAATCACCAGCTGTTTCTGAGTGAAGCTACTACAGATACTGTGACACAGCACAGAACAGATCATGAATGATACATTATAGTTCTCTCTCTCTCTCTCTCTCTCTCTCCCTCCCTCCCTCCCTCCCCCCCTCCCTCCCTCTCTCTCTCTCTCTCTCTCTCTCTCTCTCTCTCTCTCACACACACACACACACACAGATTTTGGAGATTTTAGAGTCAGATGATAAAGAAAATAACTAAAATATTTGCATATCTGGTCAGTAATCTTTTTCCCAACTCTCCTGGAATGGAGACATAAAAATCTCAGTAAGAAGTTACTATTTAATTATGTTTGACAAATCTTGCTTTTTATTTAATTTGTCGTGAAGCATCAGTCTTTCGAGATAGATAAGATCAAGAAACAGCCATGACAGGATTTTGCAAATAATTATTTTTCTAGTAAAATAGAATAGAGATTCAGTCTGGTGTAGTGGTTAAGGCACCAGGCTAAAACCCAAGAGACTGTGAGTTCCAGTGTTGTTTTTGGCATAGTAAGGGGACCTTGGATTTACTTCTCTCAATCCTAATAAGGAGGCAATGGCAAACCACTTCTGAGAAACCTGGCTAAGAGAACTGCAGGGACTTCTCCATGCAGTCACCAAGAGAGGGAAAAAATTGAATCAGAGAGTCAAAGGCAATAAATAAATAAACAAGCAAGCAAGCAAGCAAGCAAGCAAGCAAGCAAGCAAGCAAGCAAGCAAACAAATAATAGCAATAGCACTTACACTTATATACTGCTTCATAGTGCTTTACAGCCCTCTCTAAGCAGTTTACAGAGTCACCATATTGCCCCCAACAATCTGAACCTTCATTGAGCCGGTCAGATTAGAACTCCCGGCAGTGAGCAGTGAATTAGCCTGCAATACTGCATTCTAACCACTGTGCCACCATGGCTCCTTGAAATTGTTCTCTGTCACATATTATACTAAAGAAAACCAAGAAAGGGCTTCTTTCCCAAAATGCCAGGACTTTTCTCAAAGTTCCCTCTTAGCAGTCACTCATTATTTTCCTATTTCCAAGGTTATTCTTTCGCACAATACCCTTGTAGAAATGCTGCTTGTCTGGTAGGGTATGCTAAGGCGAATGTGCTCAGAATATTTTTAGAAGAGATTAATCATTTCAATCAGTTATATTTGCTCAACCTGCAAGCTCTTTCATTGACTGGAGTTCAAGAACAACTTGATCACTGGGAAGGGGAAACAAGATTCCCCATTTCTCTGAACCCTTTCCTCACTTGTGTAGTTCTAAACCTCTCAAACTGATTTTGGAGAAGCATGGAAAACTATAAAGAGAGTGAAAATCATGCCAAGAATAAAAATATTCCACTGGATCTTGAGATTCCAGTAATATGTTGCTTTAAAGCAATTTTTAAAATTCTTACGCATAAGCATATACACCAAAAACAGTTTCTTCGGCATTCCAACAGTCATTCTTTTTTTAAATTTCAGAAGAATTGGAAGAAGCAAGTTCATAGTATTGTTTTATATCATAGTAACATTGATCACAATATTTATTTTTTAACAATCACATCAGAGTTGATAAAAGCAGATTTTTAAAAGAATATCTACCCAAGACATAAAATTGAAGAACTGGTTTGTGATTTAAATGAAAGGTTTCTAGGTGAAATTGGTAACCTTTTCTCTCTCCTTTTTTGTTGCTTTATTAATTTATTTTCTCTTTATTTATTGTTTTGATTCTCTATGTCTCAATGTACTTCATATCAGCAGAACTGCTTCTTTGAGTTCTTGTATGTTCTTATCAGCGATGGCATCAAACCACTTCATCTTCATTCCTTTCTTTCAGTAACCTTTCTTTTTCTATGCATTAAGGTATTCTCCAGTGACTCTCACCTTCACATTAAATATCATAAATATTGTGACCAGCCTGATTTTGTTTCATGTAATATTGAAGGACATGTTTTTCTTGTGGTCCAAATATTTTGAGCACCATTCAAAGAAACCGTTATTTTTCTCCTTAATTCTACCTCTCTTATGGTTCAGTTTTCATAGCCATATTTGTAAAAATGATGGCCTTGACAAATTATACATTTGATGGCTTGATGTTGCTGCAAATTAGAAGTTTGACTAGACCTTCATGGTAGTTCTGCTGATCAGCATCACTTAAATATAGCTAGCATTGAGACAAATTCCTTGTGTGTCCAATCACAGTTGGCCAATAAAGAATTCTATTCTATTCTATTCTATTCTATTCTATTCTATTCTATTCTATTCTATTCTATTCTATACTATACTATACTATACTATACTATACTATACTATACTATACTATTTAGTCATTTTCTTAAATCATCATAATCAGCATCATTATCATTGTCATCATTGTTGTTGTCATGGTCATTGAAGTAGCTTGCTAACACTGACAACAAAGTAAAATTCAATTATGTGTTACCTCATTAATATTATAGATTTATTTGGTCCTACCATGTCTGGCATTGTATGCATTTGTGTACAAATCACAACCATACTGCCTTATGAATTATGTTTAAATTAGTATTAACCAAAAAATATCAGCAACTTGTGGCAGATTCCTTGCAACCAGTTCTGACTCTCATTGAGATAGTAACCTGAATCTGGGCAACATCGCTTCAATTGACACTTGAATGCTTCAATGCTCATCATAGCAAATATTTCTTTCTATACTGAATATTGGAAATGTAGGAGGAAGAAAACATGGCTTCGGGATTACATAGCGATTTGATTAAAAAATTAAATGCTTCTATTATTACACTGACTCTTCTTTCAGTCTCTAGCCATACTTCTGTAATATTTAGTGGTTATCCTCCCCTCCAATTCCAAATGGTATGTAAATAGCAGTAGTGGGTTCCACTTACCTTCACTACAGGTTCGGAACTGTGAGCCCTCATGCACACACTTCTGTGCATGCACAGATCATCTGTGATGATGTCTGGGCAGGTGGGCGGAATCTCCCACCACTGCCACTACTGGTTTGCCCGAACTGGGGCAAACCGTTAGAAACCCACCATTGGTAAATAGTATAGGAAGACCATGCAATTGTCCCATCTCTAAGTTTAATGACCACTAACTGAGAGAGAGAGAGAGAGAGAGAGAGAGAGAGAGGGAGGGAGGGAGGGAGGGAGGGAGGGAGAGAGAGGGATTGTGAAGATCATTGGTTGTTACCATTTCACTTAGATAAAGTTATCTTGTACAGCTATGCCAGCATGCGGTTTTTAGGTACACAAAATTTGATTGTAAGTCCCTGCATTAGTTGTAAAATATTTTTTAATTACCATATTTGTAAAGAGTTGCTAGCAAGAAAGCTACTGAGAAAAGAGCAGCTGTATATACTATTATTTGTTGATTCATTTTCCCACTTAGATATCTGCAAGTGTAAAGTGCATATAGTACTTATGTTTTGTGCAGCCTCTCCCAAACCCTGGATGAACTTCTTTAACTGTCATTCTTCATTGATTTCATTCACTGTCTACAAGCTCAGCTTATTTGTTTTGGTTTACCATGTCTAAGCACTCATCTGAGACTGATATTTGTATGGTTGGGCAGACACTTTTGGAACATTCATAGAGAGCTTCTGAGATTTGTTTTTCTCCCATGTCTATATCATCAAGCAGTGTCAGTATAGCAAGCTAGTTTTTTGTCCTATTTGTTTATATAGTTTATATCAGGTTTGGCCAAATTTTATCAGTTCTGCTTTGTCAATGGAACTGTCACTTATGCATTGGAGATTAAGCTAAATTTTTGCACGGGATGAGTAATTATCAGAGCCACAATCAGTATCTCACATCATACTACATTTTTGATGGATGATCAGAAGCAAGTGTTGACTAGAATGTAGTCCAAGATTGATGTATTTTGCCATGGTGCATGCCACATGAGCTAATGCTTTCAGGAGTCATATAAGAAGCTGTTTCCCACTAATAAGGTCCTGACTGTTGTAAATGTTAAAAGCCTGGACCCATTTAAGTTTACTTTGCCTAATAAAAATCGTACAAGATCTTTTTCCTAAACTTCCTACTTGCTGTCACATGAGCAGTAAAATCACCAGATATTATGACTACACCTCATTTGGGTACATAATCAAAAGCGTGTTGAAGTTGGGCATTAAAAATAATCTTTGACAGATACATTAATATGTAGATATATTTGAATTGTTCCCAAATCTTGCAGGAACTGCAACTGATCTCATGTATGGATAAAGAAAATGATTGGTCATCTGCCAAAGGACGATGAAACCAAGTATATATTGATACACGATGGACAAATCAAATACAAAAACACATATGAAAAAATTCTAATGTATCCAGTATAAAATAATGTAATGCTGATATATAAACTAATATTATATGTTATATACAGACAATGCAATTAGGTCTCAAGTTTTTAAGTGAGGTGAGGAATAAAGAAGGGAAAATGCTTCTTCCTCTCTCAAGCATTTGGATGAAATGGTAAGAATGAGATGGTAAAAATGTCAAAATAAGAAAAAATAAATAGTAGTCCTTGACTTGTCTCAAAGGTGCTTTTTTTTTCATTTTGCTTCTCATCCAAGAAACTTCATCAGTTCATTGATAAAGCTTTTTGGATGAAAAGTTAAACATCTTCTTCCTCAATGAAAAAGCATAATCCGATTGCCTTTTGAAAAAAAGCACCTTTGAGACAACTATGACCTCGATGACTGAGAATCTCCATAGACATTTAGTCCTGGACTTACAACCATTTGTTCAATGATGTTCAATGTTAAAATGGTGCTGTCAAAATTGATTTGTGACTGGTTCTTGAATTTACAGCCATTGCAGTGGTCCTACAGTCATGTGCTCAAAATTTGAGCCTGCCCACATTTACAATTGCAGGAGTGCTTCAGCTACTCCAACCCTCCTATGTTCCTCCCCATCTATGTTCTTTTAGGTGCCCTGTACTCTCCCACATACCCCTGCTGTTTCCTGTCATTTCACCGATGCCTGCAGTTGATCTTTGCCATCTTTGCTTTTTCCTGCTGGAGTCTTGTGATCCAGGTGCTGAGTGAAGTGTAGTCCTGTGATTGTATGCCATGGGCATGGCAGGGCAGTGGAGTCTATTCTGCCAAAGGGAACTTGTCTAGCCAGACTGGGGAGAAGGCATCAGGATGGCAAGTTGGGTCACTTTCCATCACTAGGTGAGGCAGGAGAGCTGCTAGTGGCTCCCTGGGAAAAGATGGAGAATGTCTGGGAGGCAGAGTTTGTGTTGATAGTAAAACCGGTAGGAAGAGGAGAGATGTGAGCTTCCCAGAGATAACACATGTACTGCAGTTTCTGGAAAATTGGCTTGGGAGCTTCAGCAATGAGAGGAAGAAATCCCAACACCAACAGAACATACCTGCAGGCCCTCTACTTGCTCTTGGCTCAGCCTTCCTCCTGAAAAGCTGAAAAAAATTCACTGAGTGGGGGGAATGCCCTACCTGGGATGGGCATCCAGAATACTCCAACAAATATATTCAGGAAGGCAGTGCACAATGCCCAGAAATTAATGAAAGACAAGTACAAATTCTCCCCAACCCTGCTGCTTGTTTACAATTGATAAGCACTCTAATATGGCATTGCAAGAAAGAAAGCACTTTACTCACCAAATGTAAAATCTCTGCATGGACCTTGTACTGTTTTCTTTTCTTTCCTTGTTCCCTGTTTTGCAAATACAATTAAGAAAAGCACATGAGGGATAAATGGTGAAGTCTAGAAAAAGAAAGTGAGCCACATGATGGACGGGAACACTTAACCAAATGTAAAAAGACCTTATGACATTTAAGGCTTTTAAAACATTAAATATTCAATGGTTGAAACTTCTCTTCCATCATGTGGCTCACCTTCCCATTTGAGCTGGAAAGGATAGCCTCATAAAAATGAAGGAGCCCCTCAGGACACATGGCAGAGGCCATGCTAGTGACTTTGGAGGAGGTGCAGTGTAAGCTTTTAAATCTTAATTGAAGAGGAGGGTTGATCATTGCCTTGACTGGTCATACTTGTGGCTGAGGGGGTCATCACACCATGGTGATGAAGGGCTGCTGGCCCCAGATACTATAGAAGAAAAGCTTAGCTGTTTAAGAATCTCAATGCTAACACCTGTATGGGTGCTTGGGTGTCTTTGTGAATGGGCATCCCCACAGGCCAATTCTCCAGAAGCGCTAGCAATATGAGCTGCAGAGTACATGCTGCACATCTGGGTAGCTCATACCCATCTCCTTCCTCCAGTTGTGCCACCATCCCAAACAGCTCCTTCCACACAGACTCTACCTTCATCTAGGCAGCCACCCCTGGCTCTCCTGCATGCCCAGTAGAAGAGAGTGGATCACATGCTAACAGCAGGAGGAAGAAGATTGCAAAGTTCAGCTATGGGAAAAGTGGTGGCAGCAGATGGCAGGGTGGATAAGTAGCAGAGTGCAGAGCACCCAAAAAGGCAGCAATGGTGATGGGGAGAAGATAGGTAGGTGTGGGCAGTGGAAACTATTTTTTTCAGCATGGTTGATCAGTATATCAGTTTTTTCCAAGGATCATATTTGATGTAAACTTAGTATCTTTCCAATGAAATTCCTATTTTTGAATATTTATTAATATATTTAGATTCTGCATCTATTTAATCATAAAATGTTTTTCGTGTTTGGCTTTTGAATCATATTTCACCAACAATTTAGAAATAAGGCCTAACATATGTTTCAAGATTTTTGTGCTAATTTTTTACAAATTTTCTCTGATTAATAAACAAATCTTGCAATCGATACAAATATTATTTCTCAGTTGCACATTTTTTCTACTTTCTCTTCAGGAAAACAAACATTTTGTTTCTTATGTTTTTTAAACTATTTCTTTCTTACATTTTCGTGAGATAAAACTCTTCTAAAAAAGAGATTTTGATGAGAAGAGACTCTTGAGGATCTACACAATGTGTTCTGTTGTCAATATATATGCTTAAAAAACAAGAAACTTCTCTAAGCATTATCATGTTTTTGTTGTATATAATATAATGTGCCTTGTAAACATGTGTTTGTTCTGCTCAAAGAATGTTTTTAGTTTGTGACTCATCCATTCATACAGATCAAGTACCTCATAAAGACTAAATTTTTGTTTAAGGTAGGAAAGCTATGTTGAACATTTGGCATTTGATCCTTCTTTTCCTTAATTTTCTTATATATTGTAAACTAAAAAAAAAAAAAAAAGTAATGTTAGCTTGTATCCCTCACAGGATTGGGGGGCAATAGCTCACCACTTCAAGTAACTGGAAATAAAGTGTCAAAATGTGATGCAATAATATATAATAGAATTATTAATATAAGTAGAATTTTAAGATTGGCCAAATCTTGGTTTTTCTTCCTTTGTTTTATGAAGGACAGCACTATGATATTCAAGAAAAATGAGAAAAGTTACACTCAGAATATCTCAAAGGTGTTTTTTTTTCCCCCCCATCAAAAAGCAATTGGACTGTTTTTTTGTTGTTTTTTTTTCCTTTGAGGAAGAAGAATAAAATGTTTCATTTCTCATAGAAGAAGCTTCATCATTTCTGATGGCACGTGAGGTGGGGCGCTGGTGGGGGGAATGGAAGGCCTCAAAGAAAAAGCAGGCCAGTTGCCTTTTAAGAAATAAAAAAAGCACATTTGAGACAAGACTGAGACACTCCGCAAACATTTACATCCAGAATGAAGACAGCTGAATAGAATGCATTTTGGTTTTGTTTGTTTAGTGGTATCTGTTTGGAGAGAAATAGCATTGTTACAAGAACTGACTAGAAGGCCACTCTAGTGCCTGAATGTTCATGTTTGACAATTCCCAATTGTCTCCTCCAACTCCTAGTTTGGGATGGATGGATGGATGATTGATGGATGGATGGATGGAAGGAAGGAAGGAAGGAAGGAAGGAAGGAAGGAAGGAAGGAAGGAAAAAGGAAGGGAAGGAGGGAGAAAGAAAGAAAGAAAGAAAGAAAGAAAGAAAGAAAGAAAGAAAGAAAGAAAGAAAGAAAAAAAGAAAGAAAGAAAACCAGAACTTTTACTACCCTTGAAACTACCAAGCTTTTGATTATGGAGTTTTATATAACTGAAGAGCTAAGATATGTGTTTTAGCTCCTAGGCAAACTTGTGTTGTGCAGCCCTGTGGGAAGTAATACAAAAGAGAGTTGGTGCTCTAAAAAGAAGGGCCAAATAAGAACATTGAGTTGATTTTCTAGCTATTCATGATTGCCTTTCGCATCTGCTATATATGGTTCTGATGGTCCAAGTTAGAAGGATGAGACATTGTCTCTCCTGAATAATATGAGACATGAAAGGCGTGTGCTATGCTTTTCTGAAATAGTTTCTCCGCAAACACATGTTTTTTGAACATCCAAAGAGAGAAGGAAAAGTGCTATTTCTTTAGCTATCAAAGCAAGCATAACCTCAAGCCAAATTCTAGCATTTTTTCATCTCTAGCCTTGCACTATTCCCTTCTCTATTTCTAGTTCAGTTAGATTGTGCCAGTATAGAATTTGTGTGAAAAGAATAGACAATCTGTTGCTGTGTTCAATTATCCCCCCTTGCATACCATATGTGAAAGATTATGAAAATAACACGGGGAAAGGAAAGATGACAAAAGAGATCATTTTTTTACCATCCCCCATTTAGAATATTTATGGAAGGCACAATGGTATAGTCCTATTTTTCAAGCGTTCACTTGAACAAGAGGTTCAAGGGATGACACGATAGAAGTGTTCCAATATCTAAGGAGTTGTCATAAAGTAGAGAAAGTCTACCTATTCCCCAAAGCACCTGAAGGCAGGACAAGAAGTGATGGATGAAACCTAATCAAGGAAAGAAGCAACCTAGAACTAAAGTTAAATTTCCCGACAAAATAATTAATCAGTGGAATGACTTAACTCCAGAAGTTGTGGGTGTTCTAACACTGAAAGATTTTAAGAAGAGATTGGACAACATTTGTTTGAAATGGCATAGGGTTTCCTGCCTGAGCAGGGGGTTGGACTAGAAGACCTTCAAGGTCTCTTTCAACTCTTGGTATCTACTCACCTTAATAGTGTTGGAAATGTCAGCCTTTTGTGACATGACAGAAGTTCTGTCACCAGTAGGAAACCTTATTTAATTTTTAGATTAGATTATATATGTAGATGAATCTCCTTTGAAGGACTAAGTTCACAGTGATACAGTATCTACCCTTACCTCAACTTTTTTCCCAAATAGGTATGTGAGTATAGCCAGAGTTGGTTGACTCTTTTCCTAGATAAAACAGATCTAACTACTATCATATATGTCTGGTTAGACTGGTATTCAAATCAATGCTACATAATGGCACTCTTAAAAATTATGTACTAATTGTACATCGTGAAAATATAGCAGTGTTCACACATTTTAGTATGGTTCTTTCAGTCTGGAGTCACTTTGAGTTAATTTCTATTATCCCATTTTGCATGATCTGCAAAATGCATAGATCAGAACTAGAATATTAAAATAATTTCCTTTTTACCAACAACCTGTTCTCCCCAGTGCACATGAAAGCATTCCATCTGATCAAATATCTGTCTGTGAAACAGGCATAGTTATATGAAAGAAAGTAACAACAGATGCTGTAAATAAGTTTTCATTAACAACCCTTTATACTTACGATATGTGATTTTTTTTTAAAAAAAAGTTTCCATTAAGCAGAGAAAAAGTAGAAGGCTGACAACTAGAATAAGAATATATTGCTAAGATTTTTCTTTTTATCAGTGTTATTTTTCTTCTGTATATTGTGATTTTAAAGAGAAAATTCCTCCTCCACTAGCCTCAGTTAGTACTACCATTTTCCTGAAAATAAGACATCCCCTGAAAATAAACCCAATCGGGCTTTTGAGAGCATGCACTAAAATAAGCCTCCTCCTGAAAATAAGCCCTAACCAAAAATATTTAAATGCAGAGCTGGAAATCAGGTAAGATCGCAAGAGGAGCCATCTTGCTCCAGGTGCCCCAAAATAATAAGATCTGGTGTTTCTTCCACAATTTCTATATGGAGTACTTGGATTAAAACCAACTTTGAATGGCTGGAAAAACAATGAAATAATGCACAGGTACTTACTGAAAAGAAAAGAAGAAAGAATACAGTGAAGAGGGAGATCACACCTGGGAAGAAAAGATGGTTTCTACAAGGTTTTAAACTGGGAACCCCAAGTTTTTACAAGTCCAGTCCCTGGGAACCTCAAATGTTGTGCTGGTGAACTCTGATGGCAAAATGTATGTCCAATTTTTTTTTAAAAAAATTGTATCGGGGACAGCTAATACCAAGCCAGAAAAATATAAATAGAATAGCATTGATTGGTTTGGTTTGATCTGTTTATATGTCATCATGTTAATGTCAATTCTTAGCAGCCATGTTGATTAAACAAATTCAGCCTGACCCTTCAAGTCATCACTTTAATTAGGTCTATCCACCTTGTTGCTGGTCATCCTCTTCTTCCCTTTCCTTCCATCTTTCCCTGAATTCTACAATTCTCAAGGGAGCTATTTCTTTACCCAATATATCCAAAAGATTACAGTTTCAGTCTGTCCATCTGTGTGCCAATTGAGAGCTCTGAGTTGATTTTTCCTATGATCCATTTTTTTAATCTATCCATAGTAAATATTTTGATATGATGCAAGTGTCTATATATATAAAAAATATCCATAGATGTAAGC